CACTGGGACGGGTTGTTTGTGGCACTTACTACAGCCACCAGGGCGGGCCGGCAGTCAGTGCCGAGCAGGTTCCAGCAGGCCACGCCTGTGCTGCTTGGCGATGCGATGCCAAGCGCACGGTGCAGGTAGGCAGGATGTAGCGGGGAGATTTTTATGTGTGGAGCTAAGATGGATATGGGAGAGAGGAGAGAGGAACAGGAGCAAAAAACATACAAACAAACAAAAAAGAATGCTAGGGGAGCTTGCTGTTGGAGTGGAGAGATGAGAGACAGTAAAATGGAGAAAAACAAAAAGGGGAGGAGGAAGAAAAAAAAGAAAAGGAAAGTGAATAAATAAAAATTGGAAAGGCAAAAGAACAGCAAAGTTCCCAGGGATCCCACCGCTGCGGCTATGAGGTCTGGGGAAGTTGTTCTCAGGTGTTGCTGTGCAGCCTGGCTAGAAGGCGTAGAGGTATATAACGCCAGGTATTCAGGGAACAGAAAGAGAAGGAAGATATAGAGAAATGAGAAACTGAGCAATGAAGAAAGACAAAAAGGGAAAAGAAAACAAAACTATTAAAGAAAAAAAGAAAAACAAGAAAAGCCCCCAAAAAAAAACAGAAGAAAAAAAAAAACCATCGAAAAAAGAAATGCTCTCAGGGATCCCTCTGCACGTCTGCGCAAGCCGAAGGGGTAGGCTACAAGCCGCACTGCACTGCCCAGCCAGAATGGGCTCCCAACTCAAGAAAAGGAAAAGAAAGGTAACAAACAACCCCAAACAAACAAAAGCCCCGGGATCCCACCAATGCGGCATCGCAGACCGGGAAGGAGCTCCACAGTTGAACAGAGCTCCGCAGCCCCTCAGGAAGAAGCATAGATGGCACATGGAGCCACGTATTTGAGCAAAAGGAGGGGGAGGTGGTGAGAAGTAAGGAAGAAATCAAAAGAAGCAGAAAAAAGCAACACCAGCAGCCAATAAATGGCACTCAGAGAGCCGGCCAGTGTGGGAGGATGGAATCCAAGCAGCCGGTGCTTCCCGGGCAAGAGATTGTGGCCCCGGGAAGCAGAGGAGGCCAAGTAGGGGTGAAGAAGGGTGGGGGGTGGGAAAGTGTATATCGCAAATTACTGGTGGTTTTGTCTCCCGCTGGAAGCTCCGTGAAGCTGCTTTCTCGTACCCCCTCTTTGCTGGTCTCCAATAGGAGTCCAAGATGGTGGATCCATGCTGCGTTAGCTGATAGGGGACCTCTGCATGAATCTCTCCTCGCTCTCCATTCTCTGTCAGTTTTCTCACTCCATTTGGTGCTTGGCTGAGTTCTTTATCTCTTCATTTGATGGTTTAGGGTTTCAGGATTGTTGTTTTCTCTGTGCGGCTTTTCTCTGTTCGGCTTAGTTTCTCGGATCTTTGCTGTTGAGGGACGGCGTGGTGCTTCTGCCTAGAGCACCATTTTGCCGGAAGTCTCATCTTTTTTTTTTTTTTTTTTTTTTTTTTTAAAGTAGATAAATGGAAAATAGACTTATTTCTTACACAGAACTGTCATCTTGAAACAGTTTATTTTTTGGGTATTATGGGTGAATTTAATAATTTTATTGTCTCTCTGGAGACAGGTTTTTTTTTTTTGGTTGTTGGTTTTGGTACTTTTGGTTTTTTTTTTTTTAATTTTTACATTGTTTATTTTTTGAACATTTTATTGTTGGTTAGGTGACGGTTACAGAGCAATTTAGCTTCCCAGTCAACAATTTATACACAGCTTGTTTCGCAACATTGGTTGCAAACCCCTGATTGTGTCAGCACTCTCCCCTCTTCTTGCATGGGTTCCCCGTGTCCATTCACCCAGCTTTCCTGCCCCTACCGTCCTTCTGAACTTTGCTTTTGGGCAAATGCTGTCCTTTAGGCCTCGTATAGTTGATTCTTCTGAGGTGTACATTCCTCACTAGTGTTATATAGGCCTGTTTATTGTATGGCTGTAATGTGATCACAGGAAGTGATTACAGTTCCAAGTTTGAAGGGTGTCTAAGGGCCATAGTCTTGGGAGTTCCACCAGTCTCTATCAGACCCATAAGTCTGGTTTTATTTATCGGGTTGAATTTTGTTCTACGTTTCTCTCCCACTCTGTCTGTGACCAATTGTGGACCTGGTCAGAGCAGTTGGTAGTGGTAGCCGGGAACCAGCTAGTACTTTGGGTCTCAGGCTAGTGGAGGCTGTGGTTCATGTGGTCACTAGTCCTTTAGAATAATTGTTTCCGAGTCTTTGGTTTACTGAGCTCTTCTTTGTTCTGGATGGGAAGAGACCAATTACTGTATCTTAGATGGCTACTCACCAAGGTAGGATGTAGAACAATGTCTAAATGGATTATGATGTGTCAAATGACCTAGATGTTACCCGACACTATGGTCCGTAGCCTTCAAGTCCAGTATCAGTCCTGGGAGGTGTATGGTTACGGCTAAGAAGTTTTCATGACTGTGTCTCTTGAGCACACTATTGCATACGTGGGTATGCTTACAGCATGTACACATGTATATGTGCATGGGTGTGCTTCATATGCCCTACCACCCCTGCTCAGCTTACATATCTACCTATGTATCCATTTGTACCGTTTGTTATCTTTTTAAGGAATTGAGAAGTAGGGGTTCATTTTAAGTTATTCATTATTGCTATGGGATTTGCCAGTTTACTATTTACTGAAGATTCAATGTGCTGCCTAAAGAATGGTTGCTGTGCTGACATTTGTGTGTGTCATTTTGTTCCAGAGCTGAGGGCCGAAGTCGACATTATTGAACAGATGAGCAGCAGTGGGAGCAGCTCCTCAGACTCCGAGAGCTCCTCCGGAAGCGATGATGACAGCTCCAGCAGCGGAGGTGAGGACGATGCACCAGCCTCCCCTCCACAGCCTTCACACCAGCAGGCCTACAACAGCAGGCCCGCCGTCGCCAACGGGACCAGCCGGCCTCAAGGCAGCAACCAGCTAATGAACACCCTCAGTAAGTGTGCTGTCCTTCTGTGACCCAGTTGGGTGGCATGTCAGGCCTAAAGATCAGCTTCTCTTTACCTTATGTTGGAGTGTGTAAACCTGAAGATAGCTAAAGTGTAAGAAAGGGTCTTAGCAAAGATAATTTGGAGCAGAAAGGAGTGAATCACCAAACAGTGAAAAAGGGACACATAAAACTAAAAGTCTATTCTTTCTTTTCCCTACTCCCCACTGTCACAAACTGAGTTTTGTGAATTCTGGAAAATGCTGAAACTTGAATAGCTAGGCTCTTTGACTCTGCATTTACCACCAGGCTTTAGGGGTGATACCTGACCCCACATAGCTCCCCCCCCGCCCCCCGCACTCCCTAGGTCCTTTACACAATTCCAAGAACCTGGTGTCTCCAGATGGCCCACAGACTTGGGAAACTTTGCCATCAGTGTATATTTGGGGACTTACCAGCCTCTCTGGCAAGGGGAAAACCTGAAGATATTGTGATGTCTGGCTGGCTTTTAATACACTTGAGACTAAAGCAGAGAAAAACAAAAATGTCTTTGGAGGTGGAGAGGGTGCCAATGTTTTACACTCTTCACTCTCTGAAACCCTGGTGAATATTCTCCCTTGGGGTAACTTCCTTTGAGAAACGTATGACAGCAACAATGGGAAGCTGACCTAGGTGACCCTGCTCCTACTGTAGCCTAAGGTTTCTCAACCATGGACGTATTGGGATGGGTAATTCTTTCTTGTCCTGTGCATTGTCAGATGCTTAAGAGTATCCCTGGCCTCTACCCACCTGAAGACAGTAGCACTCTCCTCCCATTTGTGTCAACCAAAAATGTCTCTTTAAAAAAAAAAAAAAGTTGCCGTTGAGTCAATTCTGACTCATAGTGACCCTATAGGACAGATTAGAACTGCCCCATAGGGTTTCCAAGGAGCAGCTGGGGTTTCTAACTGTCAGCCTTTTGGTTAGCAGCCAAACGCTTAACCACTCAAGGCATTGCAAAATGTCTCCTGAAGGGCAAGATCACCCCCACTTGAGAACCACTGCTCTAGGCTGTGTTCTTCACCTGAGTGAACTCAACACTGGTCCCAGATTCAGGATACATTTTGATGCTCTTCTCAGTTGGATGAGGATAGATAGTAAGTTTCACATTGGGAATTTGGTGTTTGTAGTGGACAAGTATCAGATATCTACTGTGGCTTTAACTCAGTTCTTCATTTCGCCTTAGGATTGGTGGTATTTTGGAGGTGTTTTGCTTGCCTTCCTAGCATAGGAGATCTTGGAGGGAGACAAGGTTGGAAGGGAACAATGCAAGAGGCCTGTGTGCTTGAGTAAAGCAGTCATTGCTCGATTATTCCCTTCTAAAAAGAAAGAGGAAAGAGCAGCACAGTGGGGATGATCTACCTACCAGTGCCTTAAGCACTTGCATTACTTAAACCAGGATTTTCAACCAGAATCAGTTTATAAATCCTGAAATTAGTAAATTGCCCAAATTTGCCAAACCCTGGCATGAAAGTAGAAAAGAAGATTGATAATGATATTAGTTGTGTTCTTGAATGGAAACCTGGATCAAAATCTCATCCCCCAAAAAACAAATCTGCAAATGTAACAAAAAATTTCAAAGGGATTTTTAACTCCAGTCACACTGATGTGTTAACTCACATGTATATCATATTACTCTATAAGGGATCATGCCCAAATTAGTTGATTGGGGGTTACCAGCTGTTGCCATGCCCTCATCACCTTTACTGAGTCTAGATTCCAATGCATGGCGACCCTGTAGCTGTTGAGTCGAGTCTAGAGCCACAATTCTCAAATATTTTGACTTCAGGACTTCTTTGTTATTCTTAGGTGCTATCAAATCAGTTTCAACTCCTAGCCACCCATGTGACAGTAGAATAAAATGACAACACGCAAGTGTCAGTTCAGCAACCATTCTTAAGTCAGCACATTGAACCTTCGGTAAATAGTAAATTGGCAGATTCAGTAGCAATTCATAAATAACTTAAAATGAATCCCTGCTTCTCTGTTCCTTAAAAAGGTACAGGTAGTCCCTGACTTAATGACATATTCGAGTTAGGACGAACCACACTTAATGACTGTGCTTTTTTTTTTTTTTGGTACATCTTATTGTTAGTAATATGTACTACACAGAGTGTTGGCAGCACATAATTTGCTGATGTTGCCATTCTTAGATTCAGGGTTTCCAAATCTCAAAGACAAATAAAGATCAAATTTATAAAGATACTGATAAGAAAAGATGATAATGAAAACCAAAAAAATTAAGGTATTTGACTTATGTCAGAACTGATGTACAATGGAGTTGTTGGAATGGAACCCCGTCATAAGTCAGGGACTACCTGTGCAAACAAAAATACCAGGCCTTTCTCCTGTGGAGTGGCTGGGTGGGTTCAAACTTTATACTCAGAAATTATCGAGGAACTAAAGAGCTTTTGTGTATGTGGCTTATAACTATCAATATTTGCCATATTAGAAATTAAAAGTGAGATATTTAAAGTACTCAATAATTCATTTAAAAAAGAATAATAAACCTATTGCATGTTAACAAAAATAACATTATGAAAATAACTTTTCCAAATTAAAAAAAAAATCAGTAAAAAGAGTAACATTGCCTTAAAATTTTGCAAGTCTCTTTATAATGTCTGGCTTAATGGAAAGCTGGATTTTTACATCTGGTTCTGCATTCAATCTGTTGTGATAAGTTGTGTAGGTTGAAATATATGAAGAAAATCCGGCATCACACACGTATGTAGTAGGAAAAGGGAGGACCTGGGAATCGGACCCCTAAAAGTATCTTAGGGTCCCCCAGAGTCCTCAAAACAAACTGAGAAGAGCTGGCCTAGAGATTAGCAACCCAGAACACAGCAGTTCACTTTTGTTTTATTCCAGTGCTATCAGCTGGGGTCCTGTCACTCTTATTATTAGATTAGATTGACATGTCGAGTGTATAATTGACTTCTAAATTCTACACACTAAGCAAAAATCTGAGGCTTTTCAAAGCCCGTTCGTTCAGACTGGAGATTTAAAATGATATGTCTGTCCTGGACAGAGGTGTACCATGGGGACATTGGATTAGCACATGACTGGTGTAAATAGTATTCAGCTTCCTTCATAGGAGGCCCAAGTTGGTGTCTTCTAGCTTTTATAAAGCAACTTAATGTGAACAGTTCTATTAAACAATGACTCAGTTATTTATAAATGATTTCTTGCTATTTATTAACACATGTAAAAGCCGTGTAGCCTCCCCCTCCCCTTCTCTATCCCAGTTGGCAGTATTGTTGTGCTTTAAAGATACTAAAAATGGCATTTATTTTAAAATGTTGACTGCATCAGTTTTTTTCACTAAGCCAAATTGATTTTCCCCCATAATTAAGTTGATTAGCCAAGGCAATTAACCAAAGAGTCATGAGGAAATCGTTTTTAAGCTCTGTGCTTTTGGTTTCTCTTTTCTTTTGTAGGAAATGACTTGCAGTTGAGTGAATCTGGCAGTGACAGTGATGACTAGAGCCGGATCTTTCGAAATCTACTTTTTTGGTGCACAAATATGCTGCAAGACCAGGCTACTTTAGCACGGAGTCCATTGCCAAGAGGAAAACGTTGTGGAGCAGTGACTGTAGTAGGAGTCTGAGGCTCTGGAGCGCTCAGATATTCAAGTCCTTAACTTAGAGGTGATGGGTGATTTTCTCATGTACTTTTTGAACAATCTCATGTTTCAAAGTTTTAGATCTACAGAAGAACTAACAATTATATTCTGATTTGGCTAACCTTGTTAATGAAAAACAGATAATTATGCACTGGTCTAGGTTACTCAGAGGCTGTGTCTTCACCAGGCCAGCGATTCAGTTTTCAACCTCAGCAGCCACCAGTTTGGCCACGTGGTCTCTACCAGTGAAATGAAACACAGTCTTTGAGGTGTAGGAGAGGGAGAGAAACCTCAAATTGCGGCATAGCGGTATGTTAAAACCACTGTAAATTGTTGACGCAAAGTGGTAAGTTTTGCCTGACCCAGCCTGACAATCCTGTGTAGAACTGGACTTCAAGCCTGAGTCCTAGAGTGTCAGCTGGGCTGAACCCTGGAGACCTGCTAGTTCAGCCCCCTCGTTTACAAACAGGAAAGGGAAGCACACAGCTGGTGTGTGGCAGGTTTCCTGCCCATTCTCCAGGCTTTTCTCAACTGCTGTCTCCCTTGAATCTCATTTGTTGGAATCAGAGATTCTTCTGCTGGGACTTTAAATGTACATTGGAGCTTTTACTGGGTTCCAAAAGACAAAAGTGTTGAGTACTTCCAGCTCAATTTAGATCTAGATAGTCCCTAAATGTCTGAGGCTGGGTAAACAAATCAGACCAGCAGCCGTTGGACTGACTTGTGTGACTCGATAAATTGGGGCTTTCTTTCCATGTAGAGCCATACTAAGTGTCCTTCATTCAGTGGATTTTAGGGAGGGGAGCTGTAGGGAGTGAGGAGAGGTGAAGTGAAGAAACCTCTCTGAACAACTGAACCAACAGTAAGTTTCCAAGTTTTCCAAAAACCAGAATCTAGATAGTAGGAGTTCTGCAATATGAAACGAGCACATTCTCTGATAAGGTGTTTCTCTTCATACTATTTTACCACTGATTGTGCCTGCCTCCCAGATGAATTTGTATTTTTATAGACAACTAGAAGAAAGTCCCAAGATTGCCTTTTGCAGTATGCAGTTTCCGAATGAATCTGTTGCAGGAACCTGGTCACTAGTAAATGTTCCATACTGAGTGAATGTGTGATAAATCATCCTGTAATTAGTGTGGAGTAGCCCATTTCTGTAGTTTGAATGAATGTGTCCTGAGAAATTTCCATCTACTTTGGTTCAGTGGGCATCACGGCATTAAAAATGATTTTACTTCGTCGGGTTCCTCCACTTGATGGCCCTCCGTCCCCAGCTGTGGGAAGGAAGCAGTCTGGACTGAGGAAGGAAATTGATGGTCCATGGTGGGAGCTTTAGGTGAGAGTCGCATCTATGCGGGTGAAGTAGAGCATTGAGTATGCTTCATCTGCAAAGTGACTGACTCAGGGTGCTGGACACATGGGCAAGGAGCCAGGGGACCCATCGTCCAGCAGCACACTCACACCACTCAACCCAAGTGGAGGTCAGAGGTACCCCTCATACCCTGTGGTGGGTTCTCAGCTCATCATGAGCTGTCAGTGGATTTAATGGTATGTAGGAACTTATTTATGATGAATTGATAATTGATTTATAATTCCTTGGTAATGATGACAGCTCAGGGAAGTTGAAGGTCATGACTGAGAGACTTGAATTGTTACTGGATGTGGGAATTGTTTCATTGCTCTTAACTTACTCAAGCTGGGGCAGGTTTTAGGAACTTGAACTAAACATATCTATTTAAGCCTTTTTTTATTTTTCCTCTTCTCTCCCATAGTCTTGATTTATATAGACAGAACTGTGGATTTTGTTATGTTGGGTCAAGATGTTTGTTTGTATAGGAAGTGTCTGTGTGCAGCTCTGGCCTTGGTGAGTCAGGCTCTTCGTGCTCAGACCCTCTCCACCCTCATCCATCCTGTCCGGCACTCCAGCACAGCTCCAGCGTGGGTCTCTGCGCAGAGCTGTCAGTGGTTCCCTTTGCCCCCAGCCCCAGCTTTACCCACCAGAGTAAGGAATCTTTTCTCCTTGGAAATCAAGAATTTGGCCTCACAAACTGCTTTTCATCAGTATCCTTGTGCCAGCCAAATTGGACGTCTTGTTCTTCCTGCCCTGTGCCTGCTCCCTCAGCCTCCATGAACCTCCCCTTTACCCTCCTCCTCCTCGCCCCTCCAAACTCCACTCCTGAGGTTCTGTAGGTGCCATCCTCATGGATTCTTCCTCTTTTTCTTTCAACTGATATGGAGTGCCCAGTATGCATTTACTGACCTTCCTCTTGCTTGAACTCTAGTTGGTGGGAACTCCTTAAAAGCAGGGACTGTCATTCTCATCTCTGTCCCAGAACTGGGGTGTCCACAGGAATAGACATTAAAATGCTTATAGCCTGGTGGGGGAGGAGGCAGCGAAAACTAATGGTAGAGTACAGAAGACAGAGATGAGAAATTCCTGGCATTTGGAGACAGCTGAAAACCATCCATGCTGATTTTCATGATTTTGAATTCTCTAATTCAGTTATTAAATTTCCCTTTTTATTTTCTCTATACAACGTTTGCCATTCTGTGGGTCATGTAGGTGAGGTGTGGAGACTTAAGTCTGAATTATCCAAGGCCCCATGGCAAGCCACAGTAAAGACATGCTTTGGAGAAACAATACAAATAAACTAGAGATCTGTAATGATGCCACTCATTAACTCCTTTATTTCTGTAGAAGAAGCATTTTTTCTATGTTTGGTATGAATTTCTATGTGCTTTGGTGGTGGGAAAACTTGAAAATTCCAAAATCCTTACTTCCCTGTTTGAGAAGCTGATTCAGTGTGTGTCTGTGTGTGTCTGTGTGTGTGTGTGTGTGTGTGTGTCTGTGTCTGTGTGTGTCTGTGTCTGTGTGTGTGTGTGTCTGTGTGTGTCTGTCTGTGTGTGTGTCTGTGTGTGTCTGTGTGTCTGTGTGTGTTAGGATTCTCAAAACTCAGGCCTTAACCAGTAGGTTGGAAGATAAGAGCAATTGAAGCATTATGAAATGTGTGTTTTCATTGCTCCTGTTAATTCTGTCTTGGTTTTATTGTCTTGTTCTTTAATGATTTTAAGATCATGAAGTAGGTATGCATGTTTACATTTATGTAAAATATTTGCTGTTTAAAGTTTTTTTTGGTTTATTCTCTTAAAAGGTCATTGTATTTAAGTAAAAAATGAAGGTCAGCAATACACGTAATGTCTTGGTAGTTTTTATTTTCTTACTGTCACTAAAAATCAATGAGAAATGGAGAGTTCTTTTAAGAACCCTTTGTCCATAAGCCAGATTAACTAACTAAATTGCTTCCTTTGTGATGTGGTGTTTATGATAATTATGAAGAACAATTCAGTTTTAAAAGGTGCAAACTTAGAAACTGAAGGATGATTTCAGCAAGCCACATGGCACCTGGGGCCATTTTACTTGGTCTGGAAAGGCAGGCTTAGCTTTGGGTCTGAGAACTCCGCAAGGATTAAACTGAATCCCTCGACATAAATCCTACCATCATCTTCTTGTTGTTAGTTGCCATCAAATAGATTCCAACGCATAAGAACCCTATGTGTGCAGAGTAGAACTGCTCAGTAGGGTTTTCAAGGCTGTGACCTTTTGGAAGCAGATCTCCAGGCCTGTCTGCCAAGATGCCTCTGGGTGGGTTCAGACTGCCACCTTTTGGCTAGTAGTCGAGTGCTTAACCGCCGTCACCTGTTGTTGTTAGGTGCCGTCAAGTCGTTCTGACTCATAGCAACCCTGTGTACAACAGAATGAAACACTGCCTGGTCCTGCGCCATCCTCACAGCTGTTGATATATTTGAATCCATTGTTAACAGCCGCTGTGTCAGTCCATCTTATTGAGCGTCTTCCTCTTTTTAGCTGACCCTCTACCTTAGCAAGCATGATGTCCGTCTTCAGGGACTGGTCCCTTCTAATAACTTGTCCAAAGTACGTGAGACGACATCTCTCCATCCTCACTTCCAGGGAGCACTCTGACTGTACTTCTTCCAAGATAGACTTGTTCATCCTTCTGGCAGTGCATGGTATATTCAATATTCTTCACCAACACCATAACTCAAAGGCATCAATTATTCTACGGTCTTCCTTATTCATTTTCCAGCTTTCTCAGTCATCTTAGCTCACCAAATTCCTTCTACCTGGAAGGCCATGCACACACACACCCCTCTGACCCCTGATTGACTGGAAGTGATCCTATCCTGCTTCCTTCTGTACCACTGATAGAGCAATGCTCACATCTACCTGTGGCATTGGCCCCTGCTAGACCGTGAACTCCTAAAGAGTTGTGACCCTGTTCTTTAATTCTCCTGTGTCTTTCACCTAATGGGTGATTAATAAATTTGTTCTTAGTAAAATTACATGTTAAGAGAACTAGGCTAGGAATAATAAGACCTGCCTGGTCTGTCCTCTGCTCCTTATTCTGCACCTGGCTTCTATTCCCTCAGGTGGAGATAGGGGTTAGACTCGAACCAGGCATCTCACCTGGAAAGTGGTGGTGGTGCATTCATCACCTGGAAAGTTTTATCTATTTTGTTAGCTATTGCCACTACAATGATATGTAACAAACCATTCTAAAATTCAGTGGCTTAGAACAATAAGCATTTAATTCGCTCACAAGTCTGTGCAGTAGCCATTTAGACTGGACTTGGCTGGACAGTTCTGGTCTTGGCTGGGCCCCCACCACGTGACCAGCAGTTGCCTGAGGTTTAGCTGATTAGGGGGCCTTGGCTAGGACAACTGGGGACAATCAGATCAGCTCACTGTGTTTCATCCTCTGGCAAGCTAGCCTGGGCATGTTCTCATGGCAAAGGCAGAGGTGCCAGAATGAGAGCGAAAAAACGGATATGCTTCTGTTCATAACTGCTAACCACCCCTTGGCCAAATCAAGACACAAGGCCTAGTTCAGAATCAAGAGGTGGGGAAATATACTCTACCAATTGATGGGAGGAGTTGCAAAGTTACATTGGACAGGGGGTGGATACAGGGGTATGAGAGGAATTGGGACTATTAATGTGATCCATCTACTACATGCACATATCCCATGTCTCCAACACAGTTGAGAACACTGGGTCATAATCTCCAAGGTATCTCCAGGCTCTGGCCACATAAAAAAAGTCCCAGTGGGAGTTGTTCATGGTTCCTAAAGAGGGCGCCAAAGCCAAGCCAATGGCTCCTCTTGGCTTGGCCAAAACCGATCTAAATCTGTTGTCCTTGAGTTAATTATGATTCATAGTGACCCTATAGGACAGAGTAGAACTGCCACATAGAGTTTCTAAGGCTGTAATCTTTACGGAAGCAGACTGCCATATCTTTCTCCCATGGAGCTGCAAGAACGCTATTCCAGTTACCTATTGCTAAATAACAAACTACCTCCAAACCTTAGTGGATTAAAAGAACAACCGTTTTATTTTGTCTTATGGAGTCTGTTAGGAAATTGGACTGAGCTTGACTGGGCAAGTCTGTTCCTTGTGGCTTCAGCTGAGGTCACTCAGTGTTACTCGGCTGGCCGATGGGCTGGGCTGGAGGGTCCAAGCTGGCTTTGCTCACATTTCTGGCATCTTGTGGGGTGGATGGCTGGAAGCAGGCTCATCTGGAACTGTCGACCAGGGTGCCTACATAGGGCCTCCAGTGGTGTCACTAGGGTTGGTGTCACCCAGTGCAGTAACTCATGTCACCACCCCCCGCCATGGACCGCTTCCCATACCAGACCGTACAGAATGCTTAGTAATGTGTTCTGTATTAATGTTACTCGTAAATCATAATTCCCATATATCACTCCTTCTTTTCCTTTAATTACTACTTCATTCTCAAAAAAGTTATTGATACACCTTTACAAATACTAATTACCACAGTATTGTAGCTAAAACACCAGAAAATTTGACAAAATCAGTGACTATAAAAACACCGGCAGCAATGAAAACAGCAGCACGGGCTTGTGGCAAGTGCCAACAAACCACGTGATTCGAAGCATCATTGTAATTGGGTAAGAATAACAGCTCTGACCCAAGTGCATTAAAAGGTTCAAAAAGTAAATTAGCATAGAGTTTCAACCTTGTAGGTATATTTCGTAAGCTGGGCTTATGAAAAATGTCGTTATAACTAACTACAGGGGTATTTTTATAAAAAATAATAAATTTCTGCTGAAACACTGCAAAAAAATTTCGTAGACCGTCATTTTGATATCACCCCCTCTGACAGTGTCACCCAGTGCAGTCCACACCCCCTGCACTCCCCTGGTAACACCACCGGGGCCCTCTCCAGCATGGCAGTCTCGGGGTAGCTGGCCTTCTTACATGATTCTGGCTTCCCCTGAAACAAGTGTTCCAAGAAGCTGTATAGCATTTTATGACTTAGCCTGGCAAGTTGCATAGCATCACAGCCCCTAGATTCTGTTGATTAAGGCAGTCAATAGCCCACGCAGATTCAAGAGGAGGGGACATTGACTCCACTTCTTTAATGGAAGAGTATCAAAAGCCACCCACCTTTCCTCCCTGTGTCCTTTGAATCTAGTCCTCTGTCATTGTTCTCACTCACATGAGACATCTCCACAGACCAGCAACATCAGCATCCCCTGGAAGCTTGTTAGAAATGCATATTCTCAGGCCTTACCCCAGACCTATTGAGTCAAAAACTCTGGGATGGGACCCAAGAATCTTTTTGACAGGCCGTTTAGGTGATTGTGAGAACACTGCCCCTGAGCAAAAAGGTCTCCCTTGGTGAGCCTCAGTGATGATCCCTTACCATGATGACTGTCTTCAACTTCCTGTCCTAGGGTGATGAAGGGCTGAGGGTAACTGGGGCCAGGGCATACAATGGAGTATGGTACTGTTCACGGGTTGGAACATCAAAGACCAAAATATAGAAGAGCTTGGGCGAGGTGAGGGGGCTTACTCATTGTCTTTGAAGAAATTAAGGGGTCAGACTCACCCAAACCAAATCCATTGCTGTCGAGTCGATTCCTACTCAGTGACAGTATAGGACAGAGTAGTACTGCCCCATAGGGTTTCCAAGGAGTGGCTGGTGGATTCAAACTGCTGACCTTTTGGTTAGCAGCCGAATGCTTAACGACTGCACCACCAGGGAAGAGGCCAAAATAACCCCAAATGAAACCGTTGAGATACTAGTGTCTCAGCATAAGAATTTCAGTGTTCATATGTGGCCCCTTTTCATTTCTATAAAGGGATTAGTTGGTGGGGCAAGGGAACAACCTGTTGCCCTTGAGTGGGTTCCAACTCAGCGACCCTATAGGGCAGGGTAGAACGGCTCTATAGGGTTTCCTAGGCTGTAATCTTTACAGAAGCAGACTGCCACATCTTTCTCCCCTGGACTGGCTGGTGGGTTCGAACCACTGACCTTTCAGTTAGCAGCTGAGCACTTTAACCATTGTGCTGCCAGGGCTCCTTAAGGAGCACAGTGGGCAGGGGAAAAGTCAGTTTTGTTTCTTGGTTTTTTTTTTCATTTAGTACGGTAGTGTTTCTTGTAGAGTTGCTTTACTCTAAAAGTCAACTGTTTGGGGCTGAAAAGAACTCAGGGTGAGCCCCGGAGAGAAAGTTCCTCTGATAAAGCCAGTGTTGGTTCTATTTCTCAGGTAGGGGTGAATGAGAGGAGGTGGGTAGCCTTTAGCCCATCGCTTCTGGGAGACTTGGAGCTCCCTCTCAGAACAGCCACACATGAAGATCAGGAGAACAGACCATGCTCCTGGAGGCTCTGGCCCCTTGGGTGGTGCCTGTGGCTTGCTCAAGTGTGAAGATCTCCTGGGTGAGTCACCAAGGTCCTTGATCTGTGAGCTCATTGTTCCTATGTAAGTGGAAAGCCTGAGTTTCATTTCAAATTTAAATTGACTCACTCTACTGTGGGGAGGGATGGGGCAGGACGGCTCCAGGAAGGTAGGCATTGGGCAGAGGCTGACCCATTAGTCACAGTGAGGTTTGGAGGTTCTTCAGCAGTTTACCCAGATGTGCCCTCTGTGCCCGGATTAAAGTGATGGGGGCCTTGTGTGTCTGTCCCAAGAGACGCTCAGAAACCTGGTCCTACTAGTTTGTAACCCATCTTTAAAGGACTTGCTTTGCTTACAAATGTATCACTCAAACAGCTTTACAGGTGGATAGAAAAGAGTCCTGGGACCAGTGCCCATCGCCAAAGCTCCCTAGTTATTGAGGGAGTGCTTCTGGGCTGGCTGGGACGTTCCCAGTGACAGGCTATATCCTTGGGTGTCAGTGAGCAGAGCTAGGGCCGCTGTTACTGGTGAAAGAGTCAAACCCAGTCCAGGCCTCAGAGGGTGAAAGTCAGCTCTGGGCCCCGCCATTCATCGGGCTGCGGTAGCAGACAGAGATGAAGCCTGCTGCAAAGTCACCAGGAAGCGATACTTCTCCCGAGGTCACCACTGCAGCTGTAAAGGGTCATCATAACCCTTTCTTTGAGTGACTACTGCTTTCTTACTGACGACAGCCCCAGGCTTGCTTTCACACTCCTGCCACCTGAGCAGAAACCACTGAGGGAAGCCTTGTGACTAAAATCATACGCTGTCAGAACTTTGCAGTTTGGAGTCACATCAGTGAGAAGAGAACATTCCAGTCTTGCCTGGACGATCTGAGCTGTGTAAGTCGCTTTGACACAGAGAAGCAGTGTCAATTTTCAGCCTAGCTACAGAGCCTCAGATACGGGTGTTCAGACACAACATCCCATGTTTATCTTAACTTTGTAGTTTCCAAGGAAACAGGACCCTGGGTCCACTTCACAGTCCAGGCCTGATGGTGACCCCTTTACACACAGCCCCGCTGTGCTTGGAGCCCATCACAATGCTGCTTCATTTACACTCAACTGGAACTCCATCTCTCCCTGTAATAAGCTTGTCTGCCTTGATGAGATACCCATTGTTCCTCTGGTATGTAGTCTCCCTGCTGCAAATCAGGAGTCTCTAAGCGGTGCAAACGGTTAACACACTCAGCTGCTAACTGAGAGGTTGGAGGTTCAAGTCCACCCATAAGCACCTTGGAAGAAAGCCCTGGCGATCTAGTTCCAAAAAATTAACCATTGAAAATCCTATGGAGTACAGTTCTACTCTGATACCCATGGGTCGACTTGATGGTAACTGGTGTACTGTTGTTGTTGTTAATTGCTATTGAGTCGATTCCAACTCATGGTGACCCATGTGTGCAGAGTAGAACTGCTCCATGGGATTTTCAAGGCTATAACCTTTCAGAAGCAGATCGCCAGGCCTGTTTTCTGAGGTGCCGCTGGGTGGTAGGTTTGAACCACCAACCTTTCAGCTAGTACTCGAGCACTTAACCATTTGCACCACCCAGGTACTCCTACTGATGTACTACAAGTCAGTAAACCTAATTTTGCTGGACTACAGGTTCATCCCTGGTGGTATTTATCAGATGAGCTAACGTGCAGCAGAGTCTGAGAACCACTGCTTTTTATGACTGCTTTGCCATAAGGCTGTGGTCCAAACAGCTATCAAAGCAAACTCATGCGATCTGCCTCAAAGGGAGAAAAAATATTCTGAGGTCCCCAAAGAGGTGAATGATTAAGCCTGAGCCACTAAATGATGATAATGACAGATAAAATCCAACACTTCCTAAGCAATTTCTAGGTGTCAGAAACTTTAACCATAAACCCACTGCCATCCAGTAGATTTCAACTCATAGCGACCCCATAGGGTTTCCAAGGCTGTAAATCTCTACGGAAGCAGACTGCCACTTCTTTCTCCCATGGAGCCTCTAATGGTTTTGAACCACTGACCTTTCAGTTAGCAGTTGATTGCTTTAACCACTGAGCCACCAGGGCTCCTTACTTTAACCATATTATCTCTATAATTCCCCAAACCCATTGCCATCAAGTTGATTCTGACTCATAGCAACCCTATAGTGCAGAGTAGAACTGCATCATAGGGTTTCCAAGGATGTAATCTTTACAGGAGCAGACTGCCACATCTTTCTCCTGTGGCATGGCTGATGGGTTCAAACCACCGACCTTTCCGTTAGCAGTCAAGTGCTTAACCACTGAGCAACCAGGGCTCCTTTAGAGTTCCCCACAACGCTGAAATCAGGTACTGTTACTTTCATTCTATAGATGAGGAAACAGAGACTCAGGGAAATTAAGTAAATCATCCAGGATAATTAAACAGCAACTTAGTGACAGAGCCAGGCTTCAAATCCAGATCTGTGTGAACCAAAATCCTCTGCTTTATTCACGAACAATGCCACATCTCTCATGATCAACAGTGACCTATCAGAGTGACCTCTCCAAATAGACCTATTAGAATCAACCAAGAGCTTCTGGGTATGAGCAGTCTTCCAAAATGTTCGCTCCAAGTGGCCCAGCCCTTTTATGGGAGAAGCAACACCAGAACAATGGCCACTGTAATGGACAGTGTATGTACCAAGCATCCATTTCCCCATTCTTGCTACCCAGTTGCTGGTCCAGTAGCCACTCCTTCTCTACGCAGCCCAAGTGCTTCTGGGGAATTTCCAGAAGTAAGTTAAGGATACTATAACTTTTGCCACCATGGGTTCAGGAATCCAGCTGCAATCCAGTCAGCAGGTGAAACTCTCCTGACCAAATAATTGGTTCAGGAGTGGGCGTGTGACTCAAAACAGGCCAAGGAGGCTTGAAGCAAGCTTTGCTGCAGGCTTCTGGAAAAGGGGTTTCCCGAGAGTCACCAGAATAGTTGTTCCCTTGTCCTCTGGGTATTGCAGGATGCAAATATGAGCATAAAGCTGCAGAAGCCAGCGCACAACCAGCCTGAGGAGTAAACTGACAGGGAGATACAAATAGCCTAGAGAATAAAGAAGAATGGAGTATGAGCCTTGATTGAACCATGCCTGATCTTCATCCTGCCGCTGGACTTTTTAAGTTATATGTGCCAATACATTCCACTCTATGGTTTATATCCAAAGTAGATTTTATGTTACTTGCCAACAAAAGCATCAGACTGACATAGCTTCCTTTGGTGACCAACTGCACCTCTGAAGACCCTGTCCTGTTCTCCGCCTCTCCCGCATGATGGCCTGAGTAGCTGCTGAGGGAATCTATCACCATCCTAGGGTATGCCTGTCACAGCTGGAGGGCAGAGTTCACACACAAGCTATTAGAGTTGAAAGAAAATTCAACCCTAGTTTCAAGTCTCTTTTAGGTGAGGAAAGAAGCAGGTTATGAGAAGTAATGAATCCCGGTGCCTGGGATTCCTCCACACTGTGGCACCTCAGCTTCCCACTGGACTGGCAAATGACCTCAGGAAACATTTACTTGGCACAGGTGAGCTTTTGGCCACCTATTCTGTGTCTGCCTCGCCTACTTACAGGTGCTCCTGGGCAGCCCACCCAGCTCTGTCCCTGGGGAACCTGCTCCCTACACCACAGTTAGCATTTCAGGGAAGGACCCAGAGGCCTCCATCTTCCCTCCTCATTCATCTTTCCCTTTCAAAATACCAGAAAGGTAGAATTACTCTTATTACATGTATTTTTGAAACACATGACTTTAAATCCTTTCATTTCCTGAGCCTTGCAGTATCCTCCCTGGAAATAGCTGGAGAGAAGCCCACCCCCAGTATTAGGGGATCCAGAGACAAGAGTCAGATGGAAGCTCACATACCAAATGTCTAAACATTTCAGTTATAATCAGACTAACAGACTATTTAAATGTGTTCGATCTGCTTACCTTGGCAAATACACTTTAATAAGACCTGGAAAACCAGACTTGAATTTGGAATTTTCAGATTCCTCAAAGTTCTGTGGCAGCATGTGGGGGTGTGAGGAGAGCGGGGCCGAGCCCCAGCCCAACCTCCCTTCTCTTTTCAGCCTCGTGCACCCACGTAGAAACCTAGCCTGCGCATCCAAGCTCCATGCTCAGCTCTACCAACAGCTTTTCTCTGGGCTTAGAGGTGAGCACAGGTCACACTCAGGAGGATTGCCATGGGGATCAGGGCCATTGGGTAAAGATTTGGGGGTCCTGGGTACCTGGAGCATGGTCTAGGAAGGCAGTGTGCAAGCTCTAGGTGGGCATGTCACCTTGGCCTCACAGACTCCTTGCCCTGTGGGGAGGATCATGGCCGGAGGAGAGCAGGGTGGTGCCCTCTAAGGCACCCAGGACAGAGGCCCTCCTGCGTAGGTCCAAGGGCAGTAGTGCATCTTTATCCAGTCGTGAAAAGCAAAACCAAACCAGTTGCCATTGAGTCAACTCCAGCTCATGGCAATTGCAATCCCACGTGTGTCAGAGTATACTACTCCATAGGATTTTCAAGGACTGGTTTTTTAGTAGTAGATCTCCAGGGCTTTCTTCCAAGATGCCTCTGGGTGGGCTTGAGCTGTTAACTGCCACCCAGGGACTCCCTCCAGGCCTAAACAAGGTCCTAACACAAGGCTGGGGTGGAGGTGGATTAACAAGACCAGGTTTTGCGACCTTCGGCAAGTGCCGCCACTCCTCCGGACTTCAGTTTTCTCCCTTGTCCCTGAGGGAGCTGGACTGCTTCCACATTCTAGAACCCTCTTTAGAGTCCAGGAAGCAGACTTGAATTCAGCCCCTGGCCCTGTCCAGCAGTGCTGGGACACTGGTCCCTACCCCTCAAGGAAGAGAGAGCCACAATGGGGAAATGAACTGCCTTTATTTTTTTGATTTCCCACCGGGGCCCCATTATGGTGGTGGTGGCTTTGCAGCATAGAAATAACATCTCCCACAATGTGCAGTCAAGGCCCAGGGAACTGGACTGGCCAACGTGACCACCTCTGGGGACACCACTCTTGGGCTGACACCCATCTGGGAAGACGCAGTCTACCCATAGACCAAACCACAAGCACAATGGCCTGCAGGCTCCTGCCTGCTGAGTCCCCAGGACCTCACTCTGTCTTAGGCACATTAGATAGCATTGCACCAAACCCAGAGTGCCCCTCCATCTGGTAACAAAAGGCACATCCCCATCACAGCCGTGGGGCACACTTCACCTTGGAGGCATCTTTCCCAAGCTAAGCTAAGCCCCACTTGGGAAAGATGATGGTGGCAGGCAGCTCATAGACAGGCAGGACTACGATCCTATAGAAAGTGAGGAGCTTGGGCACTCAGACATAAGGACAAGGCTATGGAAGGCGAAGACACAAAGGGAGGCCACAGTCACTCAGAAGAGTCAGCAGGAAGCAAGAGATGGTGCTCAGGACAGAAACAGTCTCTGCCTGCTTTGCATACTCAGCAAGGGCCCTAGATTAGGAAACGGACGTAGGCTCGGGGAGGCCGCACTCTGCTAAAAATCTTCTCAACAGGAAATGGACACGAGGGGCATTCACAAGGCAGAGGTCAAAATGAGGTCACAAGGTCAAGATGGTGCCAGGGGTGGTAAAACCACGAGCTGCCCCTTTGGGAAACATCCAGCAGAGGAACGCTACAGCTCTGCCATTGTCTCTATGGCCAGTGGCCCAGCCTGAGCCCCCACCCTCTGCCTGGGGGTGAGTGTGGGTTTGGTGGCCTTCTCAGTACTTTTTCACAGTTGAGTGTCCTCCTGAGGGTGCAATGTCCACATGAGGCTGTGCTGGGCGGTGGCCAACTGAGGGTCCCTCAGCAGGTCCGGAGCTGTGAGCCACACGGAAGGAGTCTGTCCATTCCCTGCTTTGTTGTTCTCTGGCCTCAGGAGGTCTGAGGGTGGGCTGCCCTGGGGGAGAATGCCAGCGTTTCCAGAGGTCAGAGGGCAGAGAGGCCTCACACCAGACCCCCAACAAGATGAGAACTAACTAAAACAGCCCCGCAGGGCCATGTGAGTCTAACAGTGCTAAGCCAAGGCCACGGCCGGGGTCAGCGACATTCTGGAAGAGGGAGGGCTTTCTAGCCAGCTCTTTGGCCAGTTGGTAGCTATGGGGAACTTTGCCAGGTTGGGCATGTAGAAGGTTTTCCAGTACTTTGGATTAAGACAGGATGCAGTGGTCCTGGGTTCTTCCAGTCAGACTGAGTTAAAAGCACATCTTAGCAGCAAGAGTTGTCTTTGTTTTTGTCGCACAAAGGTTGGTGGAAACTGGACCGGGACAGTGCGAGGTCGGTTCGATGAGGTGGAGAAGCTGCTGCTGTTCTGTGGGATGCAGCCCACCTTCTCCTTGCATCCCTCATGTGAAATAGCGACAGGGTGTGGAGTCGATGTAGCAGTATGGGGTGCACCGCAGGTCTCCATATGACCTGAGCGGAGGCAAAAACACCATCAGGGCATCACAGGGCAGCGGGCAGGAGAGCGTCTGCCCAGCCCCAAGGACAAAGCCACATTCTAAAAGCCCACCTCTGGTAACTTGTGGTCAAACCTCATCAAACAGTGGTCACTGCTGCCACCTTACCAAGGGCCAAGGGCTCTATAAAGACTGTTTTCACTCTCATGCGGGGGAAGGGGCTTGGGGAGTTGAGTCTAGGCCTCTGGGGTTTTTTCCTTGAGCTCCAGCTGAGGGCCCTGGGTAGAAGAGGAATTAGTAGCCCTGCTAATAACACAGCATCTACAAGAGAATCATCGCTTTTCAGCACTGTTCAATAAAACTTTCTGTAAAGATGCAAATGTTCTATATCTGTGTTGTTTAGTATGGTAGCCACTGTCCACATATGGCTACTGAGCATTTGAAATATGGCTAATACAACTGGGGATCTGAGTTTTTCATTTTATTTAGTTTGAATTAATTTTAATTTAATAACCACACATGGCTAGTGGCTATCATATTGGACAGCGCAAGTTGTAATACCTCTGTAAACCCAAATGATAATTCCATGGCAGTGTGTTAAACATTATACACACACTAAAGGCATCCCTCTGAGGCTTCTAGGGATTAGGCAGGTAACCACAGTGAGCCGGTGAGCCAGGCCCTACTCGGCCCTGTACTCCATGTCTGATTGTCCATACTCAGTTGTCTCCATGGAGCCATAAGCCAGCTCAGACCTTCTGCCAACTCTCTGGCAGTTGCCTGTAAGAGCCTTCCCTACTTCAGGGAGAGGCGCAGTGGATACATCTATGTAGGGGCCCCTGGCCAAGCCTAGATGATCTCGGGTAAGCATGGAGGGGAAGGGGGTAGGAGGATTGAGAAGGCTCCCTTGGAAGAGAGTGTGTAGAGGGAGTAATAGAGAGACGGGCGTGGTGTCTATTCTTAGCCTGGTCTCAAGGCCTGGGACCCAGCCTACAAGGGGAAAAGTGCCTGAAGCAAAAGTTGAGGAAATTAGACTCACAAGGGACTTACGAGACCGGAGGCGCCAGCAGGTCCACTCTAGAGCCAAGGTATGGGCAGGACATAAACTGGGGAGGAGCGGCAGCCTCCACATTTTCCCTAGAACATTATACAACTCTGGTTCTATGAGAATTGGGGGGAAGGTGACGCCATTTTGCGCTTTGAATGAAGTGCAGTAGGCGCCATTTTGAGCATGGAATCAGTGCCTCGCAGGGGCCAGCAGCTCTCAGCTGGCTTGGGAGACGTCAATATGGAAACCAGGACGCTAGAATACTTGTCCTGAGCCGTGTGAACACCCAACTGAGGACCCTCAGAAATAACTAAAGGGGTCCTTGAAGTGAGTACCAAGTTCCTGGGGGTTTCCTGGAGGGCCATGAGCCAGCAAAATTAGATATTAATGCTGATGTGGTCTCACTTGTGCCCAGAGGCCTGCTGGACAGGGTAGGGGGTGTTCTGGAGAATTCAGGTTACACAGGCATGTAGATTCTTTGAAATGCCCTGATATGTGTGTACCCTCCACTGGGCTCCCCTCCCAGGCCCACAGCCCAGGAGACTAATGCGGTCATAGTAACCACTGGGACGGGAGCTGCTCATCCAGGGGCAACAGCTGAGCTTAGAGACTGCCCATCCCTCTGTCCCAGGGTGGAGCTGATGATGGTGTCTGCCCTGGGCACCGCACCGACAAGCCGTGGTAGCATGCTGCTCCGAGAGGGTACATGGCGGTTATGTGCTCATTGTCTGTCCCCTCCATTGAACAGAAAACTCCCAGTGAGCAGAGGCCATGTCTTATTCATCATCATACCCTTTTTAGACATCACCACATCTAAAAAGCACCAGGAACATGAGAGACACTCAAAAGCATTTGTGAAGGCAAAAAGGAGGGGAAGGATGGAGGGAGGCAGGGAAAAAGGAGGGAGGGAGAAGTGTCCTTTGGCCCTGGTCATAAAAGTAGTGAGGCGGTTCCTACCCGGGGAGATAGGTCTCGCAGGTCAGGTAGCCAAAGTCAGATCCGTCACAGTCCTCCACGCCCTCATGCCGGTGACCGTCTCCACAGTAGGCCCGGTGACAGCCTGAGGGGACACATGGAAGTGCAGCCTGAGAAGGGGCTAGGGGACAGGCCTGCCTCAGCCTGCAAGGACTATGTGCCCAAAAGGCCCTCCCAGAGCACCACACCACTAGAAGGACTGCCCTCCACAAAGCTCAGACGCATCCAGGCACAGCCCTTAGACCCCCAGATCCTGCACTGATGGGTGATGGAACCAGAGGAAGGAGGCCGGGCTCCCGCCTGCCCTGCCACATATCACCAAGGGACCAGAAGCAGTCCACTTGCCCTCTCTGAGCCCCAGTGTTCTCTCTGCACACAGGGGCATGGCCCTGCCTCCCCTCCCAGGACCAGCGTGGGGGTCCCATGAAGTGAGGGCCAGGAGAGCATTGGGCGTAAGTAATGGCGCCTAGTGACTTCTGTCTGTGAAACAGAGAACTTCCAGGGTGGGTGACACAGGTGGGCCCAGCCTGTGGTCCTGGGGAGCCAGGTGCTCTTCAGTGGGGGCATGAGGGGAGGGTCTTGGGGTGTGAACCCCACCCTCATTGTTACAGGGCACAGAGACCCCATTAGTTCTTTCCTACTGAGTGACCAAGGGCAGAAGGGACTCCAGGCCACACCAGCATCCTAGGGATTGCCATCCCAGGAATTCCAAGGGCATCCGGGGAAGGTGCAGCCACATGGGAAGAGAATCAACAGCATGTGTCCTATCCCCACCCCTTGGGCACACATCCAGCATGCTGCATACTCATCCTTCCCTTGAGCTGCTTCTACACATCCACAGCCCTGAGCCTAAGCCTGGCTCCTATTAAAAAAAAAAAAACTTGTTGCCGTAGAGTTGATTCCAACTCATAGCAACCCTATAGGACAGAGTAGAACTGCCCCATAGGGTTTCCAAGGAGCATCTGGTAGATTCGAACTGCTGACATTTTGGTTAACAGCTGAGCTCTTAACCACTGCACTGTCAGGCTTCCATAGCAGGGGTTTAAAAACTAAGTCTTGAATGAATTCAACAAATGGATGCCAAATCCTTACTACACTCCAGACAACTCACAGATACATTATTAGCTCATGAAATCTCTAAAGATACTGAGCGGTCAGTACCATTGTACCCATTTTACAGTTGAGGCAAGTGAGGCTTGGAGCCATGAGTTGCCCTCCATCATCGCACTTACAGAATAGTGCCTCCTCTCTGAGTCCAAGGGTGGGTAGGTGGCTATCAGAGCCTACATTTGAACTCTGTCTGACTCTGAGACCTGCACTTTCCACCTCACCTCGTGCCATTGTCACTTGATTCAAAATAAAGAAAAATGCAAGCCCTCGAGCGCCATGCCTCTGCTTGTCTGTCCTGTAACATCCCATAAACCTGAAGGCAACGGTGTCTGGACCAGCTGTTGTCATCAGAAGGGCTTTGCTCCTAGAGCTACAACTGGTAAAAGTAAGTCCTAATTCAAATTCTAGGCCCTTCCTTTTGCATACAACAGCATCCCTTTCACCAATCCATACAACATAGCCACAGCTTTTTGAGCTGGGGATGTGAGTTTTGCCAAGTAAAGAAGAAGTAGGATTGGGAGAAAAGGGAAGGCCTTCCTGGTGGCTCTACTCTTTGGGATAAGGCAGGCCTCTCTGGGGGCAAGATCCTTGACACCCACCCTTATCATGAGCTTGGGTGGTGGAAGGAGTTAACATTTGGCCTGAATTGCAGGGGTGGAAGACCTGCACAGCAGACCAGGTACACTCCCTTGGGCTCCTGAACTGTCTGAAATCACCACAGCTGGTGTCCAGGGCTTCCCTCGACCCCCAACCCCATGACTGTCCAGGCTTCAGGCCCTCCAAGGCTGGTCCCCACTCACTGATGCAGGCGTCGCCCATATCGTCGTTACCGTCGTCACACTCCTCCCCAGGCTGCAGGACCCCGTCCCCACAGGTGCCACGGTGGTCTACAGTGTAATCCACAGGGTAGAAAGGGGTCAACTGGCCAAAGAAACACACAACAGTTACCGGGGAATGGCACGTCCGGGTAGCCGCAAAGCCGGGCAGGCCATTGGCTCTGAGAACAGATGCTTTGGGTTCAGGGGGACACTACTGGAGCATCCCTTGGCTTTCTGAGGCTGCTTCAGAACTGCTCCTCTGGGTTGGGAAAAATACTTCCTTCCAGTTGCCCAGAGCTCTGTAGATGGGAGGAACGCTGGGACAGATCAAGATGGCAGCCTGGCAGTTTGGGGATGTAGAGACAGTTTAGATCCTTAGGTGTGGGCCTTCCTTACCTAGAGGCTCAGAAAGGAGGCGCTCTCTTGAGAGAGTTGCTCAGAAAAAGTGTGAAGGAGGATGCTTAGTTCTTTCGTGGAAACATGCAGCAGAAAACTCCGCCCCCAGGCCTAACTGTTTAGCTTTCCCTTTACTTTAATGGATGTGTCCCTTTCTTGGATGGGGAGGTGTGGGGAAGGTCCTGAGGTGTCCTTGGGGTACCTGGATGGGGAGCCAGCCAAGGCTGTCCTTGAAGTACAGAGATCTCTGGTCTCTGCGGAAGGCAATGGCATTTTGGGTGTTCAGCCTCTCAAGCTCCTCCTGATTGTTGACCACAAAAATCTGCCAAAGAACATACTGGTGAGGATTCCAGAAAACACTTCTAGAAAAGATAGAGAGAAAGCTGGAGAAGAAAACAGAAACTCTATTCTTGGGCTGGTTAACAGTGGGGAGAAGGGGGATTTGCACGTTATACTTTAGGGTTCCTCCTGAAGTGGGGAGAAACATCTTGATTCCCACACCTTCTCAATCCAGTTCCTAATATCTGAGTTTGATACAAAAAATGTCTGCTGTGATTTAAAATTTTTAAATATTTTAAGTGTTCCCAAGACTTAATAAATAAAAAGGTGATGTCATCTAATCAAGTAATTCAACATCTGGAAATGATTGTAACAAATTCTTACACTCAAAGATATTCATTGCAGTGTTATTTATATTAATGAAAATCTTGGGAGCACCCTATAAATATTCAACAGCAAGGCACTATGGACTATGCATCCATTCAAATGATGTTTATGATGAATTGATGTCCAGGATTTACTTCAAAATAAGCCAAGAGAGGGTGGGCAGTAGTGAATACATATAAAGAGAAAACAAGGAAACAAGATTAGCTAGCCATGAGTTGATCATGTTAGGTGAAGAGGACATAGAGGCTCATTACACTATTTGCTCTGCTTTTGTATTTATTAGAAACTTTCTTTAATAACAAGTTTAAAATGATATTTACAGAGTGTAGAAATATGACAGAATTTCAACGGAGACAACAAGGGTACAACATTTTTATACAATATAATCTTAACCATGTAAAAATTATTCTTTAAAAAGTCAAAGAAAATACCCCTAAAATGGACCTAAAACCAAACGGACAATTTTATTTTCTTTTTTTGATTTTCTGATTTCCTATAACGAGTGTGTACCCAGTATAACGAGGGAAAATTAATTTTACCAAGAAGCATTTACAAAGCCACAAGAGGATCAGGTGGTAGGTCCTTACTGATAACCACCTCAGATTTCACCAGAAGAGCCTTACCACAGGAACTCGCCGGGAACTGGGCCCATACACGGATTCCCCGTAGGAAGGGTTATTCACATTCATGGGGGGTCCACACAGACATCTTCCTGGAGGCCCGGGGAATCCTCTTTCCCCTTTGGGTCCCATTATAAGTTGTCCTAGGAAGCAACAGACTGCTTTGTTACTAGAGCCAAGGAATAGAAAACCAAATAGCCCAAGGAGACGTGAGCAACTTCCCAACAGAAAAATGGTTAAAATCCATCTATTTCAGAGTAAGCCTGGAGGACAGAGGTTCAAAGAAATGCTTTTGATCCAAGACAGGGAGCAAATTCTCTGTGGGTCAATTAATGCTGAGTGGGTTGCATAATAATTCCCAGGCCTCATTCTCCCTTACCTCTAGTTTAGAGACTAGATGGATAGATATTTCACTTTCTAGACTCCCTTGCAGCTAGAGGTGACCACGTACCACAGTTCTGGCAAATGTGAGGTCTGCAGTGGGGAAAGGGTAGCCATTTGGGGAAGTTTTTCTTGAGAAGGAGAGAAACATGCTGATGGGAGACATAGCTTCCTACTCCTTTGAGTCTTAAAGACAAACGATATCTGGTGTGGCAGCAGCCAGATTGCAACCATGAAGCCACAAGTATGAGAACAGAAGCAAATATGCAGGAAAGACAAGGGCCCTGGGATGCTGACAGTGACGCTTAGAGGCTGAACCAAAGGCAGCTAATGTCACCTCTGGTCTTCCTTGTTATATGAGAAAAACAATTCTCTGTTTGTTTAGACCACTATTAACAGGGGCTTCTTGTATATGAACACATTGCTGAGTGATAACTTTTATTGTGTTTCATACATTTTATTTTGTTCTTCTTATATACAGGACTTCACAGAGGAATTTCTGGGTGTGGGTTTGTTTCGTTTCTTTTGGAAATTGGAAATTTCTTGGAAATTTACTTCCTGCAATGTAGGAGACCCTCTAGAGTTATAGTTCTCACCCTGGCTTTTAAAGCCCAGATACCCAGGCCATGTCCCCGACCAATTCCATTAGGATTTTTGGGAATAGGTCACAGGCATCCATATTTTTTAAAGCTCTCAAGATGATTCCAATGTGCACCAAGTTTGACAGCCACTGGTCTGGGGAAGCAATCTTTCCATGGGCCACTCCCACTCAAGTTGTCCACCCCTTCACCCTACACCGCCCATCACCAGTACCTCCTAACTCCCTTCTGATCTGGGTTTAAACATCACTTCCGCAGGGAGGACTTTTGGGGTTCTAACACTGCCATGCTCATCTTAGGAACAATTTCATAGTTCTCTATGCCTTTTCTTCACAGCACTAATCTGTTTGTAACTCTACATATTGTGAGATTATCTGATCAAGGTCTATCTCCCCTGGTAAAATGTAAGTTCCATGAGGGCAGGGCTTGTGTCTGTTTTCACTTACCACTGCTTGACACATAGCAGGGGCACAGTACGTGTTTGATGATTGAATGAATGAATGCAGACTAACTGGAGAGACAAGGTCTGTGGAAAAGTCTAGTAGTCACCCTCTGATCAGTAGAAAAGCACTAGAGCAAGAACCATCCAACAGAAAGAGAAGAAGAGATGGATACTGCAAAAGGAAACAAATAAGTACCCCCTTCCTCGGAAAATGAGGGGACTTGGAAGATGAGCCTGTCATTGGTTTCAGAAGAAGCAAGGCAGGTCGTATGGCATCTGGGGCATCTAGCAACTGGGGACACCATATGGAAATCCCTGAAGGGCATGAAATAACATGACCCCAGGGGAGAGGTCTGGTCAGGACCTAGGGAAGCATCTGCAGCTGGAGAAGGAGATCCCAACGGAGAGGCCCCATACCCTGAGGCCTCCCAAGCTGGTTGACGGATGCATCCAAAATCAGAAATGCTGCAGGCATGAGGAGGAGGGAGGTTTGCCACCTTCTCAAACCAAATTATAGTTGTTTCTTCTAACCAAAAATATGAATACAATTCTGTGGAAAGAGTTCCAGTCTTGTGCTTCTGATATCTTCAGAAGAGCCTAGGGAGATGGAGATGCCTGGGAATATTCCAGGTAATTAGCACCTGGGGAAATCCAGGTAACCAACGAAGTGAGAGCAGCATTGGAGCAGCCTTCCAGAAGGTTCTGTGGCCACAACTCCTCCACCAGAACCATGGCCTCAGAGAGATTCAGGAGTTTGTCTGGCATGATCCAGTAAATTAGCAGTGAGGCTGAGAACTCATGTTTGACTTAACACTATACCATTCAAAAGGCAAACGTCCAAGAATACGGATGCTCTCAGGAAGCTGGTAATTCCCAGGTACCACTCTGATTCACTTATACCCAGTCTGGGTACAGGAAGGACTCAGCTAAATTTGTAATTTGATTACTGCAAATTAAATCCCAAAGGCATTTTGCCTTTATCCTCTGCTGCAGCCCTTCTTTCCCTATAACCTAGGTTATTAAACAGCTCCCTCCCTCCACCTCCCGCAGCACCACCCAGCTCCAGCACTAGGCACCAGAACCACGGTGGTCTCTGACAGGATGTGGCAGTGAGCCTGCTTCCTGCCACCACTGCCACTTCCCTGCCGCTTCCTCCCAGCTGTTGGAGGGCATCGTTACCCCTGCCTGTTTCTTGCCAGGCTGTACTAAAGGGCACCACCACCTGAGCTTGCCCACCAAGGCCTCACTGAGCTTGTCCCAGGGACCTGGCCCCCTCTCCACCCTGCAGCCAGCTAGCTCGGCTCTCCTTCTATCCCCAGGGAGCCTCCACTTGCCTTTGGCTGCAGGTGGGTGCGGTCAGGAAAGGGGAGTCTGAGGAGCCTGGATACCACTCTGCAGTCAGCCCCCACTTCTGCTCAGCTCCTGCAGGGTCTGCGTGGCCAAGGGGAAGATCTCAGGTCGGGGCGTCACAGATGGATTCTGGACCAAGTGTGACTGCCATTCAGCTCTGTGATGTCTTTGAGACTCAAGGTTCTTTTCCATTAAGGAAGGGTTGGACAAGACCAGGGAGTTTAACCTGTGGTCTACAGACCTGAGACTATACCAAGATGGACTTGAGGTGGGGGTTCTGGAACTCTGTGAAATAGGGTGCGGGGTCTTGGGTATAAACCAAACCAGTAGCCATCAAGTTGACTCTGACTCATGGAGACCCCATGTGTGTCAGGGTACAACTGTCCTCCACAGGGTTTTCAATGGCTGGTTTTTCAGAAGTAGATCACCAGGGCTTTCTTCTGAGGATCCTCTAGGTAGACTTGAACTTCCAACCTTTCAGTTAGCAGCCAAACTCATTAACTCTTTGCACTACCCTGGGACAGGATCTTGGGTGTAGGTATATGTATTTTTCCCCTGGGAGGGTTTGGGACTTTTATCAGATTCTCAGGAATCTCTTTCGGGGCCTGTTTCAACTCTGGATGATTATCTGATGACTGATCACAGGGAAGGTCTCTTTTAAACTCCTTCTCCTCCACCCCCAACACCCTCCCCTACTTTGAAACCTTTCCAAAGAGCAGGATTATTGCCCAGTTTTGCCTCTTTCCCCACTCCTCAGGCCCCTCACTCAGGGAGGATCTTCAGAAAGGAAGTGACCCAAAGAAGGCACAGGGAGGGGACATCAGTCCAAAGAGATGGCCACATTTTGCTTGGCTGCTCTGGCAATACCCAGCTCGGACAGGCACTGTGAGCCAAGGCAGCCCTTGTCCATGAGCGCCTGCCAGGTGCCTTGGGGCATGTGGAGCTGACTTAGCCACCAGCCCTGCCCTCAAAGAGCTTGGCATCTGGCAGGGAGATGAAACACCTGCAGACATAGTTACTCATGGAGAGGCCATAAGAGAGATGCAATGTGTGACTGGGGTTCAGGGAGGGAGGCCTGTTCGTTAGGGGCACAAGGAAGGCCTTATTGATAAGGATGCCATTTCAGGCCAAAGGCATAGCACAGCCACGTGGACCCAGAGAGATGGTGGGAAGATGCTCCAGCTTGGTAGAGGCATGGGTGTCCACTGGGGGCAGTGGGCAGTGAGACTGGGTTGTGACAGGGGATGAGAGAGGGGGGAAAGAGTAGAGGGAGGGAAGGAGGGAGTAGGAAGGTAGGTAGGTGAAGGGGTTAGGGGGAAGAGGAGGTGGGTACACTGGCTGGATGAGGAGGATCCAAAAGGCCAAGGAGAGAAAATAGGATGATGCTGGGCCTGCTAAACAGATGAGGTTCAATATGCTGGAGAGGGGCAAGAAAAAAACCGGGGACATCTGAGTAAGCTGCTGATGTTCCCCCGGGCCCCACCCTTCTCACCCAACCCCAAGCTCCAGGAGGGAACCAGAATCCAAGTCAGATGAGGACACCAGGGCGGCCTTCACAAATAAGCACAGGAAGACCGTTAAGGTTTCAATTTGCTAAAGATCTTTCTATGCATCTACCCCACAGTGTGCTCCCTGATTACTCAGTTTTGTGAGCCCCTAAGCACTCCATGGGCCAAGAGAGCCCCCCTGCCAAAGGCAAAACCCAGCTTCAAGCCACTATCTCAGTCACTGGCTTCAGCAGCTCAAGATCATGGGGCTCCAGGGAACATTATGTTTGTCAGAGCCTTGGAGGATGAGGACAAGCTGGAAGGACCCCCATCTGGATCATCCAGCCAAGTCTCACAAACTGATTATCGGTGTGGACATATGGCCTAGATTGCATCACAAAGGCAATTCCCTTACCAAAATGGGAATACGTGTGGCAAGATAACTTACATACTAATGTTTGTTCTCTCTGTGTTTCCTCCTCCCTCAGTTTCAAGGAGGTAGACAGACTTTGTGCTTTCTTGACTTTACAGAAAATAGGTACTATTGGAAGATGACCTTGCCTTTCTGCCTGTTCTCAGAAGGGCAAAGGGCTGCTGGTGTCTGAGGAACATGAGGAGGGAGGGGGCTGGAGGATGGAACAGGGAGAGAGTCCCCCAGACATGGAGAAGAGTTCTTCAAGTAACAGGGACCTTTTGTATCCTGGGGAAGGAACAAGGTCTCAGAAGGAATGGTTGCGGGGTGCTGCTGGGGAGGTCAAATCATGGGAACCAGTGTTCCCAGCCTTGGAAATGTTCTAGAATCCAAGCATGGCATGAGGACTGTAGTTTCCAGATATCCAGGACCACATGGATTTGAGCAACAGGCATTTCAAAGGTAAATAGGATGGACCAAAGGCTGAGGGACCTCCCTAGATGTTTTCTCTCATAATTCCTCAGGCTGTTTGCTCAATCCTTTTGTGGCAGTTGAAGGAGTGGAAAGAGCCCCAGCAGTGCCTGAGATTGCATTTTCCTGGCATCCTGGCACATTGGAGTCTCTCAGAATCAACTTTAATTTGGTTTAAAGGATCTAAAACAACGACATTTCATGCCCATCCCATGATGTGTTTATAAATACATTCCTATAAACTTCGAAAAAAGTGCACTGTGGAATTTTTAAAATGTCTTCATTTTCTTAAGAAAAAAGCTGGAATAATATTAGTTTTGATTCCTTTTGCATAACTGAAAACAAACAAAAAGAAACTGTGCACAGTAATTAACTACTCTTCTTTAACCTGAAATACTGTGTTTACATGGATGACGTATAAAGGCCTTCCTTTGAGCTGACAAGGAAACAAAATAAAAAAAGGGCTTAAAATCTACCCAGCTGCGTTCGAGCCCTTATGTGTGTCAGAGTAGAAATGCACTCCATAGGGTTTGCAATGGCCAATTTTCAGAAGTAGGTTGTAGGCGTAAGTGGAGTATAACTACGCCGTCTACAAGTGGTAGGCTTTTGATTTTTTTCTCTCTTTTTCTAAAATTTCGTTTTTGTGATTTCTTTCTATAGTCAATGCAAATAAAGACTTTCATCATACTTTATGATTGATAGATTGACAGAAAGTAAGATAGAACAATCTGCAACGTCATCATTAGTTCTAGGTTTGAGAGAATTGCTGGAGTCATGAAACATGCCTTTCTAGAAAAAAGTGTGAGTTGATGAAACATGTGCCTGTTATTTTTCACTTAAACTATAAATGACACCACCAAACGCAATTTTTTTCTTTTCCCCTCCTCTACATGTTCTCCAAAATGCTGAAGCAAAGCCAGAATGGTGTTTATCTCTCTTGTGTAAAAGTTAAATGAGCCAAATTGTGCAGAAATTATTGAGGAATTTAAGTGCCTCTGGCGGTTTCTAACTCTAAGCACAAGGCAGAGCTCTGTTCGCATCTCCTTGTGCCTTCTCTGGGGAGACTGGCCAGGAGGGTGACACTCTAGGTCACTCTTACCTGTGGCTGGAGGGCCCGGAGGTCCTGGGGGGCCTGGAGGGCCAGGTGGACCAGAAGGTCCAGGCTTGCCTGGAGGGCCCGTAACTCCACTATCTCCCTTCTGGCCCTGATGGAGAAAAAGGCAGAGCCTGTTACAATAGTCATGAGATGGAAAACTTCCTTCTCATTTTGTCTCTAAATCAGGGGCCGCTTTGCACCTTGCAGCCCTGAGGTCTTGACCACCAAGCTCCTAAAAAGCTCAGAGAAAATGACATTGGAGATAACGATAGTTGACTGTAAGTTTGCAGACCTTACCTCTTGCTCTGTTCTAGAAGCATAGAGCATAACAGCTGAAAGGAGCCAATCCACTCCGCCCTCCCATCCCTCCGGCAGATGAGGAAACAGGCTCAAAAAGAAGTGAGGATTTACTCAGGTCACCGAGCATCAAGGTGGCAGAGCAGAGCTTGGAACTCAGGCTTCTGCCTACTCGTCAGGACCATTTCTATTTCACTACGAGGGCAGTTTCCACTTATTGGCCTCTCCTTGCTCCCAGGATAAAGACACAGCTCCTGGCTTCAGCCCACGAAGTTCTGCATGGCTGAGCTTTCCGGTCTCTTCCAGCCTCCCTCGCCCTCCTCTCTGGGCTCCAGCCACATCATCTTTTTGGTCTTCAAGAGCACCATGCCTCTTACCCCTTCCTCAAGACTCTTCCTTCTGCCCAGTTAACCCCACCCATCCTTCAGCTCTCAGCTCAGACGTCGCTGCCTCCGTGATGCTTTCTCTGACCTCTCCAGACTAAGTTGGTTCTCCCCATCACAGACTTTCGTAACTGCCCTTTTCCTTCACCTCACTTATCCCAAATCATAGCTTTATAATTATTTGTGTGGTCATTTCACCCTCCTTTCCCCATGAGACATAAGTTCCATGCAGGCTAAAATCTGTCTTGCTCACCTCCCTTCCCCAGATCAAACGAGGGAGGGAGAAAAAGCTGAAAACAAAGGGGAGGCAGCTTTGTTGAAACATAAATCAAGGAATCTGAAGGTTCACTTGGGTCATGTGACCCTGCGTAACTGACGTCATCTCTTTGTGCCTTAGGTTTCTCATCTGTCAAATGAGGCTAGTAAATATACATTCCACGCAGAATTGTTGTGAGGCTAAGAAAAACATCGGAGGTGGAGAAGTGCTTTGCACAGAATGAAGGGTTCTGTGGGGCAAGAGGATCATCCCAGTGACAGGCTTGGTTCCATCTTTTTCATGCTTTTCAAGAAGCCCCAGTTTCTTGAGGAGAGGCATATCTGCAGCTACAGCCATTCCACATGGGGTGTCCTCTCAGCTGTATTAAGAACCACTATCAGCCTCTTGGCATCCTTCTTAAGGCTGTCTTTGGGAGAGACCCTAGAAACTGAGGCTGAGTGTACTCTGTAGCTTCTTCCCCTGAATAATTTGCTAATTGTCCACTCTTGCCCCATGTCTAGCCAGGGTAATGATTGATGCCGACATCTTTGGCCTGGATCCGCTTTCTACACTTGTGCTTTGGCATGCTTGCCCACCTGGCGAAGCACAATCTTCCTTGAGTCTGGGAAGCAGGTGTGCTGGGGACTCCTTTCCAATCTCAGCAGTGACATGTGACCTGCTGCCTTGTCAACATGGCCCTGGGGGCCCTCTCATCCATGTCCAAGGAGCTCTTAAACCTTAATATGGCACATGTGAGGTCAGAGTTTGTTTCCAATTCCACCCTTGTGGAGAGAGGCCATGAGCCTTAGGCCAAGTTGAAACATTCCATGAGATAACCAAGATGGGTCCCAGAATGGCAAAGGAAGTCACATGTCTTATTATAGCCACGGCAAAGCCTTGTTTTTCTAACAGCCATGTCAGCTGGCTCTAAGCACAGGAAGTGCCAAAGCTTGAAGAAGCTGGAAATGCTCCTTGATTCGGACACAAACAGTACTGGGATATTCTGCTATCAGTCATATGCTTAGAACGAACAACGTCTCTATCAGCAGGTCTCCCATTCCCGGAGCAGCACTTTCCAGGAAAGGCATTCTTTATTCCTTACTTGCCACAAAGTTAGGTGATCTCCCTCAAGGAAGTTGGTCAGTCTCCTTAACTGGAGGTTTTTATAAGAAAGTCAACAGTTGCTTTGCTGGGACTGCCTGAAAGCAAGTCCTCAAGCATGAAGGTGCTGGGGAGGAGATGTGTGGTATGGAGAAGAGCTGGTCTCAACTATCTACGCTCTAACCCTGGATTTGAAGCTGGCTTGGCTGAGGGGTCTGGGACAAGTCACTCCACCTTCCTAGCCCTCAGTTTCCTTGTGAATAAACTGAGGGGATTGGATTAGATGGTCTCTAAGATCCTTCTGAGTGTAGTGGTATTTCAGTGGTAGAATTCTCACCTTCTATGTGGGAGACTTGGGTTCGATTCCCAGCCAATGCACCTCAATCACAGCCACCACCCATCTGTCACTGGAGGCTTGTGTGTTGCTATGATGCTGAACAGGTTTCAGCAGGGCTTCTAGACTAAGACAGACTAGGAAGAAAGACCTGGCGATGTACTTCCAAAAATGAGCCAATGAAAACCCTATGGATCACAACTGTCTGATCTGCAACTGGGCAGTGTTTCATTCTGTTGCGCATGAGGTCTCATGAGTCGGGAGCCAACTCAATGGCAGCTAACAACAACAACAAGATCCTTTTGGCTCTGAAATGCTAATTTCCTGTAGTTCTGCTTTTCTTCTGATCCAGGCTTTGGACTGACTTACAATAACCTCCAGAAACTATTAGCACCACTGGTCCAGGGGGAGTTCAGAATGAACAATTTTCCTCAAGCCTTAATAGTGGCAACAAGAGGGTTACATACAAATTGGGGGCTTACATGGGGCAATTCAAACCATCCTGTTGTTGAAACCCAGAAGACCCTTCAGTGTCAGGGAAATATCTAGGCTGTTCTCCAAAATTCCATTCATATCTAGGACAATGAGGCAAAAGCAGATTTTCTGAGTAAATGGCCAGATCTGGCTTCCATTTCCAGTTGCTTTGCTTTAAACAGACCTGTTCTTACAAACCAAAGACCCACTCTTGCTTCTGGCATTGGACACAGTTTGAACCGAGCATCCTGTCCCATCTGCCTGAAACTATGGCTGGTCTAGAGAAGCCAGCAACTCCTGGAAGTGGTGCTGCCCCTGCCTACAGGCCAGAGGTCCCTGGAGTCTGGGTCTACGGAATGTCTCGGATTAACCTGACTTGCGTGCCCCTCTCTACACCCCTAGGTCAAGAGAGTCCAATCTCAGGGAGGAGGTAAGCTCTGGGGTCCTTACCTGCTTGCCTCTTTTTCCTGGTCTTCCTGTGGGGCCCCGGTGTCCTGCTATCCCAGGTTCACCCTTTGGACCCATTTCACCCTGGAAAGAAGAAAGAGAGGAATTAGGATGTGTGTGTAGGTGGGGGGTTGGGGTGGTCCACATTTATTCAGGTCTATCCAATCATTGAGCAAGAGGGTGGTCTACTTGATCATTCAAAATCTTTTCCAAAAGGGCTGTTCTGGGAGGTGGGGAGAGTGATGAGGTCATGTGCAGGGTAGACAGTTTTTCAAGGAAGAGTAAGGATAGGAGAAGGTAACCCTGGGCTGGTTAGTTATTACGTGAGAGAAATGGCTGCTGGGCAGTGCATATTTTGGTGACCAAAATTGGAGAGACAAATCGCCATCCGGAAGAACCAAAGTGGGAGGTTCGTGCATTCAGCTTTATGTGTGGCTATGGCACTACAAGCCATCTGGGGGAAATGCTTTATCTTTCAGCTGATATGTTATAGTTTTTTTGTTTTGTTTTGTTTTTAGCCCAAATTCAAAGCTATGGGTTTTTTAATGATTGGTCAGTTTTGACAAAGATCATCTTGGCAAGTTTCTGCTCATTTAATGACCTTTATTTAGGATTACATATTTCTCCATGCTTCAGTAAAAATTGGTTTGAGTGCTTGTTTACTTCTAATTGAATTAGATTAAAACTCTTCTTTGTGGGGAGAGATTTCCCAATCAGATGTTCAAATACCCGATATAATTATTATAAAAGGCATAGAAAGCAATGTAAACAAGATTCCTAATTGCAAAGCCCCATTTTGAACCATGAGAACCAAATGCACTAATTGCAGAATTCCATAGTTTAAAGCCAACCCTTTGCAAAACCTGTTTCTTTATTTTAGTTTCTCTCCTTCTTCTCCGTCTTCTTCTAGAATTCCGGGTTCACTTGCTGTTTTTTGGGTCGCAAACACACAGGGCTCATCATTCCTACACCACTAACCCCCTACAGCCCAGAATGCACCGCCTGTGAGATCAGGTTAGCAACAACAACCGTGAGGGTGTCTGTTAGTCAGGAACAGTGCTTATGAAGAGCTGCCGGAGCCAGAGAGAGAACAATAAACACCCAGCCGGCTTTTCACATGGAGGTCAGAGGAGGCAGAAAACGGTGGAAAATTCCAGGGAACACCAGTCTACCACAAGGACCAAGCATAAATCTCTGAAATCACCTGTCAGCTCAGCCAATGGATTTGTCCCTACCCAAGCCATCAATGTCCTGCCTCCTAGAATTATCCTTAAACCTACCATTTCTTCCCAACCTGTCATGTCCTTCAGCATTACAGGCAGTGAGAGAGTATGAGAGGATAGCATGGATTCTACGTGGCCTTGGAGATGTTTGTAGAATTTTGCCTTGGCTGCTTGGAGCGAGAGTAAGGGGGGTGGGGATGGGGGGGGTCTTGTTTGGCTGGGAGAAAATAGCATAAACAGCATACATTTTTTTAAAAAAAGATTATCAGAAGGAAGTGTGGCCCTTTTCTTCAACTGGAAGCAGCCAGTAATTTCTTGATCTAATTTCTCTCCTAAGACCTAATTATGGTTATCATATCAGCTCTGTCTTAAAACAGCCTCCTATGAAAGGGAAAGAAAACTCTTTAGAGGCAAGTCTAGTAAATGGTACAGAGACCAGAGAAGCTGTCATATTTAATTTCGCAGTAATTTATTATCTTTGATGTTCATTATTGCACGGAATGAAAACCCAGTCTGAACATTTAAAGAAAAAAATTGTTTTTTCTCTTTGTTTTCTTTAATTTGCTTTATATAATTAATCTATTTTTTCAACCCCATACGCCTTCTGGGGTAGGAGGAACAGTGTTTTCGACAGATTAAGGTAGTGATAAATCATGGTAAATTAGTGCAAGATGATTGGAATTATTTAAATATGTTCTACTGCCTGGAGAGGGTCAGTTAAAAATTACTTATTCAAGTTTGGAAAATAAAACGTTTAGACGAACTTAAAAAAAATATTTAAATGCCAAGAAAGCATCCCACTTGCATGTTTGAAGAATATTATATTCAGAGGTCTAGGTTAAAAGAATATTTACCAATGTCAATGCTTTATAGCATGAGGAACCAACATTATGATGTTGAATTAGTTGTTCAAAATACTAATTTATGCATTTCTCTCTTTATTCCCTGACACTTCCCTCAGCAACCCCCATCCTACCTCCCCAGAACCTAACTGTAAGTAAAAGTTTCCAAAAATCTGTCAGTCAGTTACCACCTTCACAATTTCTGTCTTATCTGTACACGAGTCAATTGTTTTTTATTGAATATTTTGTCTTTAGGTCAACTGAAATTGATTCCTTTTTATTTAGCCTTGTCTCAAGCAAGATATCCATGCAATCACATTAAATATTTAACTATTAAAAAAATTAACTATCAAAATAAAAAACATTTGCTGTCAACCAGCTAAAATGATTTTGGGTATAATCCTTGAGGAAGCACTGAGTCAAGGGTTTAAGCAGCAGTGACATGAAGCCAAAGACGCCTGTACCTTGTGCTGGGGCTCATGGGCTGAGAGGGGCCTCGGCTGTTATAGCTCAGGTCTGAGGGCCCTGTCATGACACTTTCTGCTTTTGAACTCTAAAACCAGTTACATGGAGTTGATTTCTATTCATGGTGACCCCGTGTGTGCAGAATAGAATTGTGCTTGTTCCTTAAGATTTTCAAGGCTGTGACCTTTTGGAAACAGATTGCCAGGCTTTTCTTCCAAGATGCCTGGGTGGGTTTGAATCATCAACCTTTTGGTTTGTAGTTAACGGCTTAACCATTTGTACCATCCAGGGACTCCAAGAGATGGGAAAAGCAAAGAAGGGGCTCTCTCCACTCAAATGGAGCAACCTTTTCCTCCCATTCAACTGGAGGGCATATGTGTGTGGGAGAAAGGTCTCAGAACCTCCTGTCACCTTCTCACCAATGCATAAGGCAACTTGCTCCCACCCCAAACCAGAACCTTCCACAGTAAACCCACTTTCTCTGCTTGATGGACAAAGAGGCAGAATTCTTTTTGTTGTGCTTAGAGGGCAGATAATACACTGAGGCCTGTTCTTACTACTTCTAGGTACTTACTTTCTGTCCCAACATTCCAGGAAATCCTGGGAAACCCTGTGAAGAGAATAACAAATACGGTGACCACATCTGTAATAATGTTTGCAAAGGTGGGAGAGCTTGGTCAACCATTTTCAAGATGGAGCCCTGCTGGTCAGTCAGTCATTCAGTCCACAAGACAGTTCCATTGTAGTTTATCATTTCTATGAATAGCCATTACCTTTTCTCCTTTGGGACCCAAGTCACCCCTTTCACCTCTGGATCCCTAGGAGGAAACCACAGGAAAGAGTCAATTGGGGAAGGGGTATTGGAGCATTTTTAAACTGAAAAGCTCACCAAGTCAACACCCTCATTTTACAGGCAAGAGAACAGGCTCAGAGATGTCAGGTGACTTGCCCAGGGAAGGAACGCTTTGTGATCTACCTTCTATTTGAACCTCAAAGAACTGTTGCATTAAAAAAGACAACTCATAGAAAATTCTGGGTCCCAGGTCCTCTCTTATCCTGTAGGAAACTTGTCCCCCATTTCCAGCTGCTGTTTTGTTTTGTTTGTTTGTTTTGAAGGATAGGAGAGTTGTATGGTGGAAGCTTGGTTTAAAGACACACATCCACCATCTTCCTCCAGAACTTCTATGCAAACTCTGTTTATTCTCTCCCTGGCAAAACAGTCATTTGCTCATCTGCTCTTTAAGGGGTCTCTATCTTCACTTGAAAAAGCACCTCCCCTCTCCAACTTGCCCTCCCTTCCCTCTTCAGGAGGCCCCTCACTTCTCTCTCTGCCCACTGACAAAGGACAGGAGGATATCTAGGAATGGACACTGCAGTCACTGGCTAAATAGAAACCTGGGCTCATCCTTTTCTCATCACTGACTCCAGAGCCCACAGCCCAGACCAGGCTCTGGGAAGCCATCGGGGGCAAGCACTAACCTTTTCCCCTCTGGATCCAGGGTAGCCCTAAAAGAAAGCAGAAGGCACATTTACAGTCAGCCCTGTAGGACCTCTGGATTTGGTGCAAGAGTGGAAAGAATTCCTGAATGTGGTGGAAAGGTGTCTCCAATACAAAGATGTCCCTGAAGGTTGTGTTTACATCAGGCCTAAAAAGAAGGTTTTATCTCACCCCCTGAAGACCTGAACAAAGCTTCCCAACTGCTTTGTTGTGCAGAGGCTTGACCTTCACTGCAGGAATGGCATCGCTTATGCCACTGCATCCCAGGGCACAGTGTGTCCCAAAGATAGGCGTAGTAGCACCAGCTCTCCAACCTCTGTACCATTCCCCAACCCAGGACGGCAGCCCCACCCAGTCCTCATCTTTGTAGGCAGCAGCCACTCCTAAGCCTTAGTGAGGAGACCTGGGAAGATAAGGACCTACAAACTGACCTTGGAGCCCATTGGTCCTCTTGACCCTGGCAAGCCCATCATACCCAGGTCACCTTTTTCACCCTGTGGGATTAGGGGAGAAAAAAAGACCAACAGTGACATTTCTTGGAGAAACCAAACCAGGAGAGGCATGGGTAAGACCTTGATGGAGCTGGGGACATCAGGGCTGACTTGTGAATCTGAGGCCCATCAAATGCCCACTTGCTCACTCCCAGGGTCCAAGGCTCCATACTACGCATTTTATTCTGGTATTTAAGATTAAATATAAAATTAAAGTACCCAAGGCAGAGCAGCTCTAAAAACTAAATGCTCACTGTCGTTGTTGTTGTGTGCCATCGAGTCGATTCTGACTCATAGTGACCCTGGAGGACAGAGTAGAACAGCCCCGTAGGGTTTCCTAGACCATAATCTTCACAGGAGCAGATCACTAGGTCTTTTCTTCCATGGAGCCGCTGGGTGGGTTCAAAACATGACCTTTCAGTTAGCAGCCAAGCACTTAACCACCACACGACCAGGGCTCCTGGAATGCTCACTAAGATGTCCTAAATGGACTGATACTTAATCTTTTTCTAAGAGAGGGTTGAGACAGAGGTGGGGAAAGCATGAGAGCACTGGGGCCTCAGAGGAGAAGGTTGTCAGCACCAAAACCAAAATTCATCTGCTTTGCTCTTCGCATAGGGAGGACTTTTCAGATGTCTCCATATACCTTTCACCCTAGGTTTGCAGCCTAACAGAGCAAACATCACTCTCTGGGTGTGTACTGTAGAGGCAGGGGGCTAAGACTCATGGGAAGACTCTTCTGATCCTCAGAATGGTTTGTAGTTGCAGCTTTCAGTGTCCTCTGTTCTGAAAAACTTTATCCACTAGGAATAAAAGGTGAGCCGCATACTTAATTCTAAAAGTTTTTTAGAAGGCAGATTAAAAAGTAAAAAGAAATAGGTGAAATTAATTTTAATGGTGTATTTTATTTAACCTAACATTTAAAAAATTATCATTCCAACATCTAATTAATATAAAAATTATTATGGAGATGCTTTATGTTCTTTTTTTCATACTAAATCTTCAAAATCTGGTATGTATATTACATTTGACAGACTAGTGGTGGACAGCAACATGCAAGCCACCACAGTACAACAAACCGACAAGTTTGTCGTACCGTGGTGGCTTGCATGCTGCTGTGATGCTGGAAGCTATGCCGCCGGTATTACAGATACCAGCAGGGTCACCCATGATGGACAGGTTTCAGAGGAGCTTCCAGACTAAGACAGACGGGGAAGAAGTACCTGGTGATCTACTTCTGAAAAAATTGACCAGTGAAAACCTTATGGATAGTAGCTGAACATTGTCTGATGTAGTGCTGGAAGATGAGCTCCTCAGGTTGGAAGGCACTTAAAATATGACTGGGGAAGAGCTGTCTCCTCAAAGTAGTCGACTTTAATGACATGGATGGAGTAAAGCTTTTGAGACCTTCATTTGCTAATGTGGCATCCTCAAAATGAGAAGAAACAACTGCAAACATCCATTAATAATCAGACCATTAAGTATGAATCTAGGAAAATTAGAAGTTGTCAAAAATGAAATGGAATGCTTGAAGATCGATATCCTAGGCATTAGTGAGCTGAAATGGATCAGTACTGGCCATTTTGAATCAGACAATCATATGGTCTACTATGCCTGGAATGACAAATTGAAGAGGAATGGCGTTGTGTTCATCGTCAAAAAAAAAAAAAAAATTCAAGATCTATCCTGAAATACAGCTCTGTCAGTGATAGGATAATATCCATACACCTCCAAGGAAGACCAGTTAATAAGACAATTATTCAAATTTATGCACCAAGCACTAATGCCAAAGATGAAGAAATTGAAGATTTTTACCAACTTCTGCAGTCTGAAACTGATAAAACATGCAATCAAGATGCATTGATAATTACTGGTGATTGGAATGCAAAAGCTGGAAACAAAGAAGAAGGATCAGTAGCTGGAAAATATGGCCTTGGTGATAGAAACCTCGTGGGAGATCGCATGATAGATTTTGCAAGACCAATGACTTATTCATTGCAAATACCTTTTCTCAACAACGTAAATGACAACTATACACATGGACCTCACTGGATGGAATACACAGGAATCAAATAGACTGCATCTATGGAAAGCGATGCTGGAGAAGCTCAATATCAACAATCAGAACAAGGCCAGTGGCTAACTGCAGAATAGACCATCAATTGCTCATATGCAAGTTCAAGTTGAAGCTGAAGAAAATTAGAGCAAGTTCACAAGAGCCAAAGTATGACCTTAAGTATATCCCACCTGAATTTAGAGACCATCTGAAGAATAAATTTGATGTACTGAATGCTAATGCCCAAAGACCACATACTATTTGTGGGATGACATCAATGGTATCATACATGAAGAAAGCAAAAGGTCATTAAGAAGACAGAAAAGAAAAAAAAGATGAAAATGGATGTCAGAAGAGACTTTGAAACCTGCTCTTGAACACAGAGCAGCTTAAATGAAAGGAAGAAACAATGACATAAAAGAGCTAAACAGAAGATTTCAAAGGGCAACTCGAGAAGACAAAGTAAAGTATTATATTGAAATGTGCAAAGACCTGGGATTAGAAAACAAAGGGAAGAACACGCTCGGCATTTCTCATGCTGAAAGAACTGAAGAAAAAATTCAAGCCTCGAGTTGCAATACTGAAGGATTCTATGGGCAAAAAATTGAACGACACAGGAATCATCAAAAGAAGATGGAAGGAATACACAGAGTCACAGTACCAAAAAGAACTGGTCGACATTCAACCATTCCAGGAGGCAGCAAATGATCAAAAACCAATGGTACTGAAGGAAGACGTCCAAGCTGCACTGAAGGCATTGACGAAAAACAAGGTTCCAGGAATTGATGGAATACCAATGGAGATGTTTTAACAAATGGATGCAACACTAGAAGTGCTCACTTGTCTAAGCCAAGAAATGTGGAAGACGGCTACCTGGCCAACTGACTGGAAGAGATCTGTATATGTGCCTATTCCAAAGAAAGGTGATCCAACAGAGTGCAAAAATTATGGAACAATATTGCTAATATCACATGCAAGTAAAATTTTGCTGAAGATAATTCAAAAATGGTTCCAGTAGTACATTGACAGGGGTCTGCCAGAAATTCAAGCCAGATTCAGAAGAGGAGGTGGAAAGAAAGATATCATTGCTGATGTTAGATGGATCTTGGCTGAAAGCAGAGAATACCAGAAAGATGTTTACCTGTGTTTTATTGACTACGCAAAGGCATTCAACTGTGGGGATCATAACAAATTATGGATAACATTGCGAAGAATGAGAATTCCAGAACACTTAATTGTGCTCATGGAAAACCTGTACATAGATCAAGAGGCAGTCATCCAAACAGAACAAGGGGATACTGTGTTGTTTAAAATTAGGAAAGGTATGCATCAGAGTTGTATCCTTTCACCATACCTGTTCAGTCTGTAGGCTGAGCAAATAATCTTAGAAGCTGGACTATATGAAGAAGAACACAGCATCAGGATTGGAGGGAGACTCATGAACAACCTGCGATATGCAGATGATACAACTTTGCTTGCTGAAAGTGAAGAGAACTTGAAGCACTTATTGATGAAGATGGTAATCAATATGGATTACACCTCAACATAAAGAGAACAAAAAATCCTCACATTCGGACCAATAAGCAGTATCATGATAAATAGAGACCATATTGACATTGTCAAAGATTTCATTTTACTTGGATCCACAATCAAAACCCATGGAAACAGCAGCCAAGAAATCAAATGACGCATTGCATTGGGCAAATCTGCTACGAAAGACCTCTTTAAAGTCTTAGAAAAGCAAAGACGTCACCTTGAGGACTAAGGATGCCTGACTCAAGCCATGGTATTTTCAATCACCTCATATGCATGCAAAAGCTGAACAATGAATAAGGAAGACTGAAGAAGAATTGATGCATTTGAATTATGGTGTTGGTGAAGAATACTGAATATACCATGGACTGCCAGAACAATGAACAAATCTGTCTTGAAAGAAGTACAGCCAGAATGTTCCTTAGAAGCAAGGATGGTGACACTTCATCTCACATACTTTGGACATGTAATCAGGAGGGACCAGTCCCTGGAGAAGGACATTATGACTGGTAAAGTAGAGGGTCAGTGAAAAAGAGGAAGACCCTCAATGAGATGGATTGACACAGTAGTTGCAACAATGGGCTCAAAAATAACAATTGTGAGGATGGTGCAGGACTGGGCAGTGTTTCGTTCTGCTGTACATAAGGTCACTATGAGCTGGAACTGACTCATTGGCAGCTAACAACAACAATAATTTTACATTTAAAGCACATTTCAATTCAGATGGTAAATTTTCATTGGAAACACATGATATGTTATTTAGACTTCATAAAATTAATAGCTGAAAAAGCAGATTCACACACCCAAGTTATTCCAAAAATACTTAAAATTTTTCCAATAACTGAATTGACTATCAGTTTTTAAATTAAAATTAAGATTAAAATTCAGTTCCATAGTTGCACTGGTCACATTTCAAGAGCTCAGGATCCACATGCGGCTAGTGGCTGCCACATCAGAGAGCTCAGCTTTCTAGAGAGGATTTTTAAAAGAAATGTCCTTGGAACTTTTCCTAAGGTGGCTGGAAACACAGCATAATATAACCAGTAGGTGAATCAGAGCAGATGGTGACATTCACCTACCCACTCCCTGACTTCTGAGTCCCTGCCTCTGCGCCCTCTACTCTCTGACCAACAGAGAGAAGAACGTAAATAATGGATGCATTTGCTTCCCATAACCTGTCTGAGGAAAAGGGTTACATAGGCATTTGTTGCTCACTCTCTGAAGGTAAGATTATGGTCTTTCCAGCCAACCAACGCCCACCCCCTTAACCCTCCAGCCCCTGCCAGATTAGCAGGACAAGCCAAGAGCGTTCCAGACATGAGCCTTTCTTTGGTCATCTCAGGTGAAACCAAAGAAGAGCGTTCTAAGTTTCAGGCAAAGGAGAACCAGGACACTTGCGAAAGAGAGGAGCAGCCCCCCATTTCTCTTCCCATAGGAACAGATCTGTTGGACTGGCCAAGGACTTGCAGCCAAAGTGAAATAGGAATGTTCAGGGACCTGGGACTAGAGTATACACCTGGAAGAGAAGACCCCAATACTGTGAGCAATTCTTCTGCTTTCTTCTTCCCCCTCTTGAGGAAATGAATTTCATTGAATGTGTGCCAGGGGCCAGGGGAGCTTCCATCTTATTCCCTCATGTTTGGGCACCCCATGAACCCCAAGTGTGCCACACTTACCCTGGGTCCTTCAGGGCCTGGCCAGCCGATGGGCCCAGGCATGCCCGGAACACCTGGGGGGCCAGGTCTACCCTTCAAAGACCAAGAACAAGAGTCAGGACAACTGGGTTTGTTTCCTTCCTTCCAGGGAATAAGATTTGTCTCTGGGACCCTGAGGGAAGTGTGGGGACTCTAAGCACAACTCCTAAGTCCCCCATCCCCACCCTCCAGAGACTGACAGCTTAGAAAGGACCAGTTGGCTCAGTTGGATATAAGTTAAAGTCTTTGGTGTCACACTGTGTCAGCAAGCAAAATTTTATTCTACCCATGAAATAGAAGTGGTGGGGGAGGGATTTTAAACTTCTTGAGTTTTCTATCTTTATCACTCCTGGTAAATGCCCCCTGCATTCCAATGGGTTTTCCCCAAGATGTACTGTAGAATGTAATAGGATTATGTTTTGCAGGCAGTAGCAGATGCTGTTGGTACTCCTTCAAGATCTTTTTTACATGCTCAGTATGCTCATCCCCCAGTGGCTGCCTTGGTTGCTACTAAAAACTCATTCCTGCAACTTGCAACTGTGTAGTTTGCTCTTGGGCAATTAGAGTAGCCTGACAATTCATGCACCTCCCCTACCTGCAGCCAGCAGCCCAGCTCCCAGACCTCGAGGCAAGGCAAACTCTGTGGTACAATTTACACTCCAGAGCTCCCCCAGGGATCAGGCTGAGGCTGGCCTTCCTCTGATACCACATCCTTACCTTGCTTCTTCCCCTGCCCCATCTAGCTTTTTCTGCTCCCCTATGGGCTCCTCCTGAGAGCGCTCACTTAATAATTAATTCACTCTGGACAGAGCTGGAGAAGGATGTAGAACATAATTCTAACTCACAAAAAAAAGACCAGATTTACTGGCTTAAAGGAGACTGGAGAAACCCCGAGAGGATGGCCCCCAGACACTCTTTTAGCTCAGTGGTGAAGTTATCTCTGAGGTTCACCGTTCAGTCTGGAAGTGGACAGCCCCGTAAAACCAGATGGGATTAATGAGGTACAGTAGTCCAGTGACAAGGGCCAGAAGGCAGAAGGGGACAAGGAAGCTGGTGATAGGGAACCCAAGGTTGA